CTCTCTCTCTCTCATTCTCTCTCTCTCAAATAAATAAATAAAATCTTTAAAAATAAAATAAAATAAAATATCCATTCTTCCTAAATAGTGAAGTGGTCTCAGTTCGTTACCCGAGATTGGATTTACGCACTTAAAGCACGGAAGCTAGATGCCTTTCAATGTGTATTGAATAATCTAGACCAACATTTCAGTGAACAAGTTCAATGAACTTGACAGTAGGTTCCACTGCACAGGTTGTCACGTCTCCTCCTGTACGGATATCAGCATTAATTTGTGCACTTTCACATGTGGTCACCATGCCTGATATGTGACTTGCGATCCCAGATATGCTGACCACATGCAGTGCGCTCAGACTTGGGGTTTCTGAGTGTGGGGCTGTGTCATGTTTATGCCCGGACTGACTCATTTCCTCCCGGGTGCTGCACATTAGCGAGATTTTGCTGCTACCGTCCCTCACCCCAGCCCTCCTCTGCTCAGATCTGTCGCTATGAGTTTGCTGCATTACAGTGTGCTGAGCTGGCCCTTCTTTTTATGCAACCACCTACAACAATGACTTGGGATTTTAATTTTCCTCTGAGCCTTCTTCAGACATATATCAGTAGTAGAAGGAAAGGTTCAGATTTAAACCCCAAGACAGATGTGGACAATTGGGAATTCTCCCTTCCTTCTCCTGCCCCATTTCCTTGCACAAATACTCACTGAACGCCTGCTGGTTATAAGGCGCTGTTCAAGACACAAAGGTGAAATAGATAAAGATCCTGTCCTTCCAGAAGCACTTGGGCTAGAGGGGGAGGCAGAACATATATGTAATTTGGCCACAAACCAGCGTACTCAGGATTTATATATATATGCATCATGGGAAGGAGATGAATGGCATCCCAGTTGACAAGATGCCTGGGTCCCTTGGCCACCATGTTCCTGAGCAATAGGTCACATTCAAGAGATCACCTCATGGCTTTAGCAGTCTGGGTTGGGAATGGCCAGTACCTGACAGAGATGGAGAAGTCCCCTGGGGAGCTCTGGCTGGCCCGGATGATGAAGAAACCAACCTCCTTGCCCATAAGTAAGTTCTCTGCCTGGTGTCGCGAGAGACCTTCATGAAACCATCTATTGGATGAGACAAAACCAGAGAATCTTGGTGAGATGCCAGAGTGATTGGAAGGAGAAGGGGAGAAGAGATGACCCAAAGGGATAAAGGCTGGGGACTCTGGCCAGCAGAGTGCAGAAAGAGACAGAGGAGGGGCCAGGACCTCGGAAACCAAACATATGCTCTCGGCAGTTTTCAGGCAAGGCAAGTGAGTGTTCCCCTGACGCGCCCCCTTTGTTCCTTCCCTCCAGGAGAAGTCTCTCTCGCGCTAGGAAAACCTGGATCATGGAAATGTGCCACTGCACCAAAATGGGACAGTGTGGGAGTGACTCACTGCGGGAAGCAGCCGCCTGCTGGCAGCTCTGTGAGGGATGTCACCAGGAAAGAACTGCAGGGGACAGATGATGTGCCAGGAGGACAGGAACCCCTTCAGGCGCTGGGGGACCGAAGCCAGGAATCCAGACTGAGAGCTCCGTGGGCCCCCTCAGAGCCCAGGGGCCCTGGTGGTCTCGGTGATGTGGAGCCAGGCTAGCAGCTGCCAGGGAGCGGCGTCTACACGGCCAGCTCCCGGGCCCTCCCCCAAATCCAGGAAAATCATCTTTACCGTGGAAAAGAAGGAACGGAGGAGGAACTCCTCTTTCCGGGGACAGTCAGGGCAGGTGGCCTGGCAACGTGCAAACGGCCAAGCGCTGCCAAACAGAGGCTACGGCCTCAGGGCAGGAGGCCAGAAACCTCTCAACCACAGAAGAGCGCAAATGAGTGTTGGCAATCACTCAGCAGCCCCGACTGGGACAGGTCCCATTCCTCCAAGGCGGCTGCTCGTGCGCCGCCTCTGGAAGGCTAGTGCGTGTGTCCCTTTAAGGGGGAAGTCCCGACAGGCTTGGGAGTCCTTTGTGAGCAATCCCGTGCTCTCTAGAATTTAGGAACCTGACTTCCAGACAGGAGTGGAAGGAGGGATGTCCTTATTCCAGACCTGACACTGCAGGGGAAGCGTGGCTGGGTGGTGAGGGGTTCGAAGCAGAGGGTTTCCGGCCGCCAACTCCCTGGAGATCATTCCAGAGCGTCTGCCGTGCTTGGCCCCAGGGCCGAACAAGAGACCACCACAGCTTGCCTTGTGTAGGGAATGTAATGGGGCTGGGTAAAGGAATGGGGCATGCTCCATGGCAGCCATACCTCGAAGAAAATATTTTGGACGAGGCAGAGAGTGGTTAGGGGATTGTTTGAAAAATACACACTCGTCCTCGAATTGGAGTTGGATACGTGACGTCAAGACTGGCAAAAGTGTCCACACACTACATATTAAACATGCGGGCAGGGTCATTCCAAAGCTACTCATTAGTTCATTCAACCGTTTTTATCAAATATCTACTAAGTGCTGGCCTTCCGCTGGGCACCGGGGATGCGGTGGTGAGCAGAGCAGACAAGAGGGCCTGCCCTCGTGGAGCTTACGTTCTATCATGCAAAGACACTAGAACCCACCAGCCGGCCGCGCAGTCCACCACGATCGCCATACAAAGGTTTCAAGGGGCGGGGAGGAGTTAGAGATGAGAAAACAGACAAGTCTCTTTAAGAAGTGCAGTGGTAGCTGGAAGGGGACTTGGGATCAAGAATTTTTGTTTTGTTTTTTTGGTAAGGTGGGAGAAATTGCAGCATCTTTGCTGATGGGAATGACCCAGGAGAGAGAGAGAGAACTGATGTGTGAGAGAGGGAGGAGGAGTTTCTGCTAGAAGCACAGACAATTCTTTCCAAACCAGCTGCAGGAAAGGCATCCTTGTCTGAGTACAGTTGCAGGAGGTGGGTGGATGCAGTGAGTCAGCTGGGGGGCGGGGTAAAGGGGCTTTTCTGTGGCTTCCGTCCTCCCAGTGACCCTGAAAGCAAGGCCCTGAGCCACGAGCGCTGTCGGGGAGGGGCTGGAGGTCTGAGGAGCAAGAAGCTGTCGGGTGGTCGTCTAGAAGATTACAGGGCAGGGCGCCTGGGTGGCTCAGCCAGTTAAGCATCTGTCTTCAGCTCAGGTCATGATCCCGGAGTCCTGGGATCGAGCCCCAGATCAGGCTCCATGCTCAGCAGAGAGTCTGCTTCTCCCCGCGGGCCCCCGCCCCCCATGCTCTCTCTCAAATAAATAAGTAAAATCTTTAAAAAAAAAACAGAAGATCACAGGGCAGCATCAAGGTTTGAGGTTGGTGGTCATTCTGTTGGTTCAGTGGCCAGTCCTGGTTCCCAGTGAGTGGTGTTCCTGCACTTCACCAGAGTCACCAAGACCGCTAACAGACCTGTGCTCTTTGAGCTAGACCGTGGCTCTCGAAGATTAGATTTCTATCTAACCCTTGTGGTCAGTTCTGGAGACAAACGAGACCCAATCTCTATTTTTCTTTTTCCTCTTTTTTTTTTTTTTTTAAAGATTTTATTTATTTTTTAGAGAGCGAGCGAGCGAGAAACAGCATGAGAGGGGAGAGGGTCAGAGGGAGAAGCAGGCTCCCCGCTGAGCAGAGAGCCCGATGCGGGACTCGATCCCAGGAGTCCGGGATCATGACCTGCGCCGAAGGCAGACGCTTAACCATCTGAGCCACCCAGGCGCCCTCTTTTTCCTCTTGATGAAGGGAATTTCCTCTTTTCCCCCCACTGACTGTTCTCAGGGGTATGAGCATGGTTTAGGGAAGGCAGGGAGCTGTTTGGGATCCCTGGTGAGGATGGAAGACGTTGGGAGGTAATGGAGAAGTACCCTCAAGGAGCAGTTCTTGACGTGGGGTGGCCAATAGCGCCCCTGATAGGATTCGTGGAAACCCTGTGATTGCAATTATAGATGAGTTTAGCTTATAAAACCTAAAATAGGCGATCCATGTGCATGGTATAAAATTTAAAAGGGAATGCAGTGAAATGCAAATCTCCCTCCCACCCTGGCCTTCAGCTGCGTGGTTCCCTCTCCAGAGGCAACCAATTTGACAGTATCTTGGGTATGCATAGATAATTTTAGTGACTGCTGAAAAAGTAAGGGGAGTGTGTGTGGGTAGGCCCATGTCAGCAGGCTGGAAATACTTACTCAGGAAACTGGATTTCTATAAAATTCTTGGGCACATATCCTTCTTGGCTCCCAAGCTCCGCCTTGAACCACTCCTCTTGGTTACTTAAGATCTACATGGAAGAGAAGGAAGGACAGAGACTGTAGGGAGGACATCAAGAAACAAAAGAGAGGGACCGCAGGGCAAAGAACACCCTTTTGGATTCAGAGGGAAAAAACGCCTAGGGCACCACACAGGTGCTCCAGTGGGGGTGGGGTGGGGGGTGGGCAGCAGTTTTCTCTCTGGAGTTTGGCTTCTTTGACCCCAAGCTATTTCTGTCCCCTGGTGCCACACATGGGACCCCACCATGGCGGGGCCTCCCAGACTCAGCACTCGGGGGATTCTCTGTATATTTTGGAAATTCGTATGTCCCAGATCTCAGCTCCTGAAGCTCCTCATTTGAGCAGATGCTGGGAAGGCAAGAGTGGCCACCCCATGATTTCTTCTTCTCTGCCAGGTCACCAGGGACCTTTTAAAATTTTAATTTGTTCCTATTTCTTTAAACAAGCAAATTAAAACTTAAAACATCCAGTGGGGCCAGCTTTGAAAACAGTCACTTTTGTGTTCACACTCCATGTGTTTCACAAACAATTTGGACATAACTCAAGATATTTGGGATGCCTTTTCTAAACTTGCTTTTAGTGCCAGATCCCAAGCAAAGCCAGAAGTTCTGTCTCATGACTATATGGTCTTTAGTTGACCATGACCCCAAATGTTATTGCTTCCCTTGATTACTCATATGACTCACCAGACTTGGCTCTATGTGGCTTCTGGTTATTTCAGAAAATGTTTCACTATTAAAAGACAAATGTTTGCCCCCATCCCCCACTGAGAATGTTTCTAAAGTATGTGGCATGGACTTGAACAATAATGGATATGGCAGAGACAAACGATGAACAGAAGCTTGACGATGTCATTGAGCCCCTGAGTGAGCCACACAGGAACCTCCTACTTCTGGACTTTGTGTGAGAAGTAATCAATCTGCATGATTATTTCAGCTGTATTCAAGTTTCTGCTTCTCGCAGCTGACAGTGCCTTAACGGGTGGAAGTGCTATGCTGCAGGGCAAAGCAGAAGATGAGTAGGAAAGACTGCCTGGAGGAGAGGCCCTGGAGTTGCCCTGGCAACGAAAGAAGTTACCCAGGCAAAGTCTGATGGCGCAGGAACTTCTGGGATGGGAGGAAGTGGGATGCATTCCGGGAACGGAAGGCCTTGGTCCAGCGGGAGTTTAGATTGTGGCCGCAGGGGCAGAACGAGGGGAAACCAGAGGCACAAGGCCCATGTTGAAAAGTCTGGACTTTTATCTTGAAATGTATGGGGAGCCACTAAAGGCTTCTGAGCAGGGAAGTAACACAGTAAGAATTAGAGCCAAGAAAGAGTCCTGTATCGGAGGGTGAAGACAGATTGGAGGGGAAAAGTCTAGGAAGACAGTGTAGCCATGCTGGTGAGAGGCGAAGGGCTATTTTAGAGGAACCTGGAAGCAAAAGTATGCAGGATTGTGTGACTGTTCTCCGAACCAAGGGAGAAGGGGATTCTGGGAGGGCTCTGGATTTCGGCCTTGGGAGACTGAGTGGGTGGTGATGTCTTGGCTAAAACAGAAAGTACAGGAGGAAGAGCAGGCCTGAGGAAGAGCTCATGGGCTTCAGATTGCATGTGGGTGAATCCAAGTTGCCCCTGGGACCATTTGAGAAGAAAAGCTCAGTGAGCAGCTGGAGGTGTGTGTCTGGACTCAGCAGAGAAGTAGGGACTGGCATTCGGGATTTGAGAGTCATCCTAAAGCAGGTGGAGCTGAAGTCTGGGTCCCACGGGTTTCTCTCTTCCAGAGACGGGAAGACATGAAGACAGCTGAGTAACTGATATTTCTAATATCACCCCCGAGGTGGAAGAAAGGGGCCAGCACTCCGAGTTTGGAATGAGAAGACCTGGTTTCTAGCTTGGCCCCATCACCAGCTGTATGACCTTCGGCAAGTCAATTAGCCACCTGAAAAATGGGGACAGTAACAACCAGCTAGCCCCTTACAGAGCTGATGTGAGGATCAGATGAGCCCTGGTACCTCGAAGTCCTTCAGAAAGTGTATGCTGTTTTTTAAAAATACAATTCTGCAAAATGTGGTATTCTTAGGAGGGAGGACTCCAGCCTTGAACGACATGGTAGGGTTTATAAGTTCTTTAAAGTACTATATGTATATGTTTTGAATTTAATCACTTGTTCTGAAGAAATAAAAGTGTGTCCCATATTTGAGTTCTAGAATTACTGAGGACAGAAAACTTTATAGTTTCTAACATCAAATGTGACTGCTGGTATCACTAAGGACGCGTGGGTATGTGTATGCCGAGGGGGGTGCAGTGGGGCGGGGGGAGCAGAAAATCTAGGTCAGAAAAAGAACTAGGAAACTCAGCCAACAAAGAACACAAGGACATTTCACTCCATGCCTTCGCGCCCCCCTCCCCCAATTTATGGCTTTGGAATTCCTTTCTCCTGTCACATGGGAGTGTGATGGTTTGGGCTGGGTAGCAAATGTCAAGTACAAGGTGAGCAGGGATAAGGTAAAAGAGGCCAATTGGAAATTGGCTCATCACGGTAAGAACCAACTTTGTACTTAGTTCTCTGACCTGAAACCAGCTGTAATTTTAGTAATTGTGGCTCACACCCATCTACCTCCTGTAGAAACTGAAAGATTATCCCTCAATGCCGGCCATTTCTCCCCACCACCTGGTGCTCCGTCTGCCTGAGATCGTGTTCCCAGAGAGGTGAATTTACAGGCTTTTTATGGTGTATAGGAAGGCAAGGTTTTAAAAGAATCTCATTTTCTGCAAAGAAGAGTGTTTGGGGGGAGGTGGTTTCCTCCTGCCGTTGTTGGCCCAGGGCCCCATACTTCCTGTTCTTCTCATCTCTCTGCCTATTCGGTTCCCCCTATCTCTTGTCCCCATCATGAAAACCCAAGCAAGGGGTTCAGCGTGAGCACATGAGGTTTTAGACTTCACTTTACTGTGTCTTAATTCTTATAATGTTGCCTACGAGAAAAATTTTCTGGGTTACATGGCCTGAGAATAAGTTAGACGTGGGAAGGGGACAAAATGTATAGTTGGGAGAATTTTAAAATTGGATGGAATTATAGCTCTTAGAGGCAGAGCAGAAATCTGAAGTATTGGAGAAGTTAATTGACATAGGATTAACTCTTAGTGCTTTCAGGTCACTGTTTTAGTAGGAAGAAATGGGGTTGAGTTAGACACATTACAGAAGTAGGTAGAAATGGACTGGGTCAAGAGACATTTTTTAAAAAATGACTGGCAAATTTCAGAGGGAAATGTAAGTCCGGTGCTGTGTGTAGCTGCAGGTCTGTTGGGGAGGTGGTGGTTGAGACACGAACATGAAACATCCGGCTCCTGACATCAAATACTTCTCTCACGGAAGAAGCGGGATCAAGTCATTTGGCCGGAGTTCCCCGTCCACCATCTTGTTCATCGTCCTGTCATCAGCATCTAGTGCGCGCCTGCTGTTTGCACTTAGGTGCTGGGAATATAGACATGAATAAGCTGAGGTCTTGGTCCTGGGGAAGTCACAGTCTGGAGTGGGTGGGTTGGTGGTGAACTAGTCAGACCTTGTTTGTGCCTTCTAGTGAGAAAGTCTGTTTAGTCTTTTAGCACGAAAAGCCTAGGATGAAAGAGCATCCCAGGAGTAGATTACTGGGGCAGTCAAGAGCCACCTTTGAAAGCACTTGCAAGATCTTGGGGCTCATGACCCATCTCTGGAGTGGCGGAGTAGGGTTGCAGTTGTACGTAGAGATGCACAGGCAGGGCACTAAGCACCACGATTCAGACATGCTGTGGGGCTCAGCCAACAGGCCCCTCTCCACTTTCCTTTCCACCGTTAAGCTGCAAGGGACAGAATTTGAAAAGAAGGAGGTTTTTCCTTCTGGTGGAATTCTACATGACCCTGTAGAAATGCAATTTAATAATTCAAGCCATTGGTACCTATTTGGGACCAGGACTTGTGTGGGGCGCTGCTGGGAAGACACAAAGATGAACCAGGCATGGCTCTGCTCTCAGGGAGCTCACAGACCATTGGAGTAATCAACCACTCATTCATTCATCAGATATTAGGGACAGTCAACTCTCTGCTGGTTTGGACACTGAGGCGGACCCGGCAATCAGGATTCCACAGGGTAAGGGCAGTGATGAGAGACGGGTGTATGGGGTGCGCAAGAACACGAAGGCTTGCCTGCTCACCAATAACTGTCATGGGAGGTAAGATCATCAGTGCCTTGAAAGAAGTGTGTGTGTGCAATGCTGTGGAAGAGCTGAAGAGGGAGTGATTAATCTTGCTGGGGCCATCGGGAGTGTAGAGGGAGTGAGGGTTCCCAAGCAGAGGTGGTCAAATATGTGTGTGCAGGAGAAAGGCATTCGGAGTATGGGGAGAGCCTGACACAGCACAGTGTGTATACTGCAGTATGTGTATGTGTGTGCGCGTGTGTGCGTGTGTGTATGGTGTATGTATGTGTGCATGTTCATGGACGAGAGCTTGATGAGCTTAGGTAGTGTGTTGGGATCAGGTGGCTTAAATTTCAATCAATTGGTAATGGGGAACCACTGAATTTTTTTGAGTAAGGAAGTGATCTGACCTGACTTGTTTTCCAGAAAGATCCTCCTGAGACTAGTATGTGAAATGATTAAAGGAGTAAGTGAGAGGAGGTGATGAAGTCAGTCAAGAGGCTGTGGCAATGGTCTGAATGGCAGCAGGAATGGGTAATACTGAAATGTGGCAACCATTTATGAAGCATCCACTTTGAGCTGGGACCATTACCTCTAATCCTTTCCAGAACCTTGCAAAATAGATACGGATTCTGGGGTGCCAGGGTGGCTCAGTTGGTTAAGCAACTGCCTTTGGCTCGGGTCATGATCCTGGAGTCCCGGGATCGAGTCCCGCATCGGGCTCCCTGCTCAGCGGGGAGTCTCCTTCTCCCTCTGATCCTCCCCCTCTCATGCTCTCTGTCTCCCATTCTCTCTCTCAGATAAATAAATAAAATCTTTAAAAATTAAAAAAAAATAGACATGGATTCTACTTACAGATAAAGACGGAAGCTCAGAGGGGGCAAGTGATTGACCCAAGGACACACAGCTAGTAAGCTGGGATTCAAACTCAGTTTATCTGGCTCTAAACTCCTGCTCCTTTTTACTGTATCAGACTCCTCTCTCATGAAGAAGGGGATTGCTTAAGAGATCTCAAGAAAGAAAAATAGGACAGAGTACATGTTTCGGAGTGAGGCCGAACTCCATTCAGATCCAGAAGAGGGACAGTTAACAGTGTTAAATTCCACAGGCGCGTTAGTAGGGTCATTATATTCCACATTAAAGAGATCCCTGGTGGGCATACAGGGAGTGTTGGGGGTAAAAGGCAGATTCCAGAAGGTTCCAGTGGAATAAATGGGAAGTGAGGAAGTGGAGACACTGGCACAGAGAACCCCTCCCAGTGTTGGTAGCGAAGGAGAGGAAAGAAATCAGGAGGTAGACTGAGAAGCAGAGTTGAGGAAAGGGTTTTTTTTTCTTTTCCTTTTCTGAGGGATAGGAAACCCTCGAGGCGGATATTAGGTTCTGTTTGCAATGGGAGATGAGGGGTGGAGTTGGCCCCCTGGCCTCTTTGGAGTGAGGACACTCTATAGCGGTTGATAATCACATGGTCACAGTATCCCATAGAGAAGGGAGGGACTGCTCACCATGTGGCAGATCCCTCTGTGACCTTGGTAAGATCCCACAGAAATGAAGGTCACCTTTTCTTGGGTCAGCAGCCCAGGGGACACTTTGACCTTGAGAAGCTCCAGCATCGAAGGCACCCTCTTCGCAACTATATTACTAGATCTTTGCAAGGTGACAACAGTTAGAAGGATGAGTCCCGGGGGTGTTCAAGTTCCAAACCAAGTCATCCTACCTGGTCTGTGCTCCATGGACACTTTCTGAGTCACCCCATCACGGACTGACAAGGTTCTCTCCACAGCAAGCGTACTTCTCCGTGGTGAGGCCAGCCTCAGTGCTACGGTGCAGTCTGAGAAGGCCCACGTGGGCTGCTGAGGACCAGGGATGGGGATTTCTGAGGGTGCTCTGAGGCCAGGCTGGGGGGGCGGGCATTAGCATCACAGACTCCCCAAAGGGCCTGTGTAAGGGTCTGTGCTTTTGCTCAAAACAGGGGCTAAGATGCAGGACTTAAGCCTGTAAGTGCGGTGCGTGGAATGTGGGAGTCCGAGGCCTCTTCAGCCCTGCAAGCAGCCACAACCCAAGTGTGGGTGTTAGGCGAGTTCTAAGGCGTCCTCGAGGGGCCGGATGTGCAGGCCTCTGTTGGCCCACGTCCCCTCCAGCTGTCTTTCCCAGGCTGTCTCCACCCGCACCCTCCTGTTAAGTTCCTCACAATGCTCACTGAATGCCCCCCAGGCTGGCTCACCTCAGAGCTTGAGGTCAAAGTCCAACTCACCCTCACTGCATTCCCTGACAACGGAAGTCGCGGCTCATTCCTGCGACCCCATCTCTCAAGGTTCCCTCACGTGTGCTCCCTGAACATTTAGACAAGAATATCTGTAAGAGCCCTTTGGATGGCTTTCCCCCGCCCCCCGCCCCGACCACGAGCATCTCAGGACAAGGGTGGTGGCTTCTTTCCATCACCCAGTCTGGAAACTGGTGCCCGGGAGGGCTCAGAAGGAACCCTTTTGATTGAGGTGAACTTCTCTTTTTGAAAGGAGCTGTGTGTAGTTCTTAAGAAACAAAGGCATGGGTTGGTAGGTGAACTCGGAGACCTGACCAGAGTAACCCAAACTCCCCAGGGCCCCCGAGGGGGCCCCATGTCACCTACCTTCAGAATGTCTCCAGTGTGAAAGCTCAGTTCATCCTCGCCTGAGGCGGTGAAGTCAAACTTGGCGACGGCTTCCATGTTGCGACGGGAAGCTGGAAGAGAAGTAATGTGCTCATTATGCCCTTCTGTCCAGAGGAGAGCTGCGGGCTGCACAGCAGTCTGAGCAGGTGGTAGGCGCCTGGTCCGAGGCCTCCAGGCCTGAGGGGGAGGCCCAGGCCTACAGGAAGGGCTTTCGAATCCTGGGGAATTGTTGCGGGAGGGAGCTGTAGGATGTGCCTCCCTTTCTTCCCTGAATCCCCGCATGCCAGGAGCGGGGAACAGGCCAGCAACCCCTTTCCCATTCCTTTCATCTCCCTCTGCCTGTCTGGCCTGTCACCCTTTCTGGGGGCATCCCTGTTTCTGGTTGATAAGGATGGAAGGCTCGCTATCATCACTAACTTGAGGCCCGAGGGGCTGGAAGACTGTTCTGTAAACATCGTCCTGAGGCTGTCCCTTGGCAGCTATATTTAACGAGGCAGTGTTAATTAGACAGATGCCATTTTCCCTTTTACATCTGAATCATTTAAGAGAATTAGGCAGCATTGGCCAGTGGGGAACTCAGCGTCCTTCCACATGGTTTGAGAGTGGAAAGCGTTCTGGTTCTAGAGGCAGGGGACTAGATTAGTCAGATTCCTTATTTCATTATTAGAGTGTAAGCCAAGTATTTTTTTAAAAATTTCATTCTAATACTTCAGCATCAAGTTAAAATACTATTTCCCGCCCCCCCCAGGAATACACGAGACCTATATAAAATAAAAAAGTTAGCCTACAAATGAAATATAGTTGGTTTGTTTTTTGGTTTTTGGTTTTTGGTTTTTTTTTTAGGAGACACTGAAGCATGTCTGTAAGAAAGAGCAGAGTCCTGGTTTTGTTGGTGACAAGCTGTATGATTTTGTGCAATAACTAAACCTCTTGGGGTCTCAGTTTTCTCGTCTGTAAAGTGGGGATCATAATATTCAACTAATAATAGAGGTGCCTGGGTGGCTCAGTCAGTTGAGCCCCCGACTCCTGATTTTGGCTCAGATCATAATCTCAGGGTTGTGAGATCAAGCCCCGAGTCAGGCTCCGCACTGGGCATGGAGTTGGCTTAAGATTCTCTCCCTCCCTCTCCCTCTGCCCCTCCCCCTGTGCACACGTGTGCTCTCTCTAAACAAACAGACAAATAAATAATCCTTAAAAAAAGTAATTGTATGGAATGAATTTATCCTCAGCAAAGGTAGCCTGGCCAAAAGCAGCCCGAGTTTTCTTCTGATTTCTCCCATTTTTTATGAACTTTCCTCTCTGAAATTTGATGCTTATTCTCCATGACCCGCAAATCCTTTTGTTTTCTGGTAAGACAGTTTGCTGTTAGGACAGTCTTGGAAGCTGTTGTTTGGCATTTACGTTTATCAGAATTTGGCTAAGTCTGAAACCCTTTAGGCTAGTAACCTCACACCTAATGGCTTTCAGTAACCAATAAACCAGGACCACAATCACACTCTCAGTGGGAATTTCCACCCAAGCGACAAGATTTGGGTAAATGAGGAAGGTGGCTGCCGGTGGGAGGGCGCAGCCCACAGAGATCAGGGGATTAAAGCCAACTGCCGCAGTGGTAACAGCAAGGGGCTCGGCTCTCTGATTTTACACATTTGCTTAGTCTTCCAAAGGCAATTTGTAGAGATGATGATTACCCATCCCGAAGGTAGATATTAAGCAAAAAATATTTCAGGAGCCAGAGTAAAATGTCATAGTTAATTGTCTGAGCTTTATCACCAGCCAAAATTTATTTCCAAACAAAAATATAGATATACTTTTTGTACCCTTTATTCAGGATCTGTCTATCTAAGGCGAATTAAAATTGTGACCTAGGATGGCCCACTCGACAGGAAGGAGTATTCTGCCCTCCTTGGTGAGTGCTAAATGCTTTTGCTGATTTGCTTCACCCTGTGGCTTTAACATGAAAGGCCTCCCCTAATTAAGGCCTTGCCTTGAGCTTGCGGGAAGATGTGGTGTCTGCGGGTCACCGTCATGGTATCCACAGCAGATACTGGTCACCTCAGGAGAGCAAGTGTCAGGTGAATGGTCCTGAAAACCAAGATCCCATTTCTATGCAAATTTACCTTAATAAGCAGGATGGAGACAAGGGGAGGGCAAATGCTAAACATATTAGAAAATCACATAAATTAGGGATGAAAAAATATCCAAGCCATGCTCTAGATATGACCTTGAGCTTGGGAAGATCTTTCCTACGTTACGTGTACCTCGGATGCAGCCTGGGTGCTTGGTCCAGGCTGGCCGTGCGTGACTTCGGTGAGAAGGCCGAGGCAGAACAGCATTGCTTCTGAGAAGCGGCTCTCTTCTCTGCCTTCCCCCACGAAGCAGGTGGTATGGCAAAGTCAACTTCACGGGCACATCACCGAACTCCCTAGCTTATAATATTAATCCTGTCTCCAAAAACCCAATTAAATAGGCCCACTCTTCATGAAATCACTTTGAAAAAAAATGTGGGTGCGTCCCATTTTCCATTTCCATTTGTGAAATGAAATCTGCTCAGATGCTGTTTGGTAAGGAGATGTTCAGGGGGGAGTGGGGTATGTTCTATTTTCATTCCAAACCCAGGGCTTTGCAATTTCTCCCCTTGAAGTTACCATTCCCTGCTTCCCTAATAGCAGTGCCAACCCCCAGGGGTCCATCTTCTGTTTGATCATAAAAATGCATGGAAATTTATATCCCATTTTTCTATATCCATTAGTCTTAATTTTGAAAACTTTTAAACCAACACCAGGGAAAAAGAAAACTGAACTAACGTATTTTGTTCAGTATTTATCCATTTGTTATAGTCAGTACCTTCTACTATATATATTATCTTAAAAACATGGTAGCAACAATTACAAGACAAAAGAGAAAAGGGGAGGGGCGGGGGGGGGAGAGTGCAGCCAGCTCAAGAGTTCAAGAACGCAATGGAACCTTCCAGCTGCTGTGTGCAGTTACAGTGCTGCTGACCTCGGGGGGAGATGAAGAGAGAGACATCTCTTTAAAGAACCTCACGGATGGATTCAATGTGCGTTTCCATCCAGTGATCAGCTTCAGAAATGGCTGAAATGCTGCCTGCTACAGAACGTGAATGACAAGTGACAGTGTCCAGGGGCAGTCAAGCCCCCTCCTGCAGCCTCCCCCACCCACCCCGACCCCGTTGAGGATGCCATTTGTCCAAGAATCCTACCTCGGAACCATGCAGGGCTCCTGCCCTTAATGCTGGCTCTGCTTCTCACCATCCCTCTGCGTCTCTCTCCCTTTGCCCCTTTATGAATTGCGTGCAATATCCATTAGCAGCCCCGTGACACAGATCTGCTGCGGCACTTGGCAGGACCACACAGGACTTCCCCAGGCACGATTTCTCTGCCCCTGCATTTCCATTTAAGCTTCTTTTACCACCAAAAAAAAAACCCTGAAAAATATTCAGGCTTATATACCAGGAATGTTTGTCTACTTCTAAAATACAGTCACCACATAGACGAAAACAAAAGCCACAAGACAGCTCTTTAAAAGAGCCGCCATGTGAAATCCAGATTAATTGGATGTGTTCAGAAACACGTAGTTACCCTCAAAACTCGTACCAGGCGAGAAACTTCTTGAAAGATTTCAGCTCCTCCTAAGTTGGCTATGAATAGCCAAGGTTTCCGTTTTATGCATCTCTTAAAAAGAGCAATTGCATAACACCACAAAGCTGTTGGAAGATTCAGGCTCAGGACCCAAAGAAAGAAGGAGCTGGTTCCTAAATGGAATCGGCAACACCACTTCCTATTTTGCTGGAGAGAACGCTAATTTAAATATTTTGTGACTTTTTGCACCAGTTTATGCTGTAATTCAGTTTTTTTTTTTTAAAGAGAGAAACATTGCTCTTTATAAATATTGCTTTAGCATATTTATCAGGACGGTAATGACAAACGTAATTTTTATTAATTTATCTTGTTATGAAATGCAGTGATAGAACACTGAGGAGTTTACATGAAAGGACTTTGACTGCAGCTACCAAGGGAAGCTTGGCTAAAAATGTAAAATTCTCCCAGCAGTTTAACTTCACATAATGTGGAGATTTGGAACCCACAGCCTTTCTATTTGTCAGGCAAAGTCCCTCCGGAGTTAATGAGAAGGCAAAGTGCTTACTCCCCGCTCTGAATTAACAAGGTCAGCTCCATTACTTTTCAGAAATAGGAAACCTTACCAGGAAAAAAAAAAAAAAGGATTATAGCTAAGCCTCACTGTACAATGGATATGTTCTTGAAAAGTTATTAGGAATAGCGTATTTGTAAGTGGCATCATATTAGCATGCATTATAGAGGCTCATTCTACAAAGGAACCCCATGGTGAATCCCTTTACAAAATGAAAAGGAAAATTTGTTATGCAGATAACTACCTTTTAATTTATCTGTTTTAAAATCTGGGTTTTCCTGCATCTATGAGTCTTAAAACAGAGCACACCTGTGTATATCCTTCTAGCACCTCCCACCGTGGGTTAAATAAATGTTAGTTTCCTCTCTTCTTAACTCCCAGAACACTTTTTAAACACCTCTCCTATTGATAGATAACAGTCTACCCTGGAGTATAGAATAGGAGTCGTCAAATTTTTTCTGTAAGAAGCAGAGAGTGAATATTTTGGGCTTTGCGGGCTGTAAACTTACAGATTTTCAAGGAGGGCCACAGCCACTCAACTGGGCTGTTGTAGCCAGGAAGGCAGCCCGAGAGAATAGTATTGAATGGGTGTAGCTGGCTTCCAATAAAACTTTATTTATGGACACTGAAATTTGAATTTCACATAATTTTTACATGCCACAAAGTATTCCTGTTCTTCTGATTTTTCTTCCCCAACCCCACTTAAGAATATAAAAACCATCTTAGCTCATGGGCCAAAATACATGATGGGTGGAATTTGGCCATAGTTTGTGGACTCCTGGTATAGATGCTTCTATCTATATCTTACTTCCCCTAGTAGTTTGTAAACTTCCTGAGGGGGGAGAGCTGTAGCTTAGTGGACTGAGTGTGGGCTTAGGAGTAGATGGGCCTGGATTTAAATCCAAGACGTGCCGTTCCCTTTCCAAGTGTCCTGTTTCTTTATCCATTAGACGGGAGTGACCACATCTACTTCACGGGGGTGCTACGTGTTCACGTGTGTAGAGATGCTCGCACACGGTAGGCTTTCCATAAACGGTAGCAGGGCTTGGTGTTATTTCTTCTTAGACTCCCTACAATATCGAACCAGTGCTTAGTAGGCACTTAGTAAATGCTGAGTGAATGAAAACGTGATAAGCGACCTGCCATCAGTTACAACTGTAATTTATTTCCTCAGGGAAGGCAGAGGACCCATTTACAAGGACGAATTAATTTCCCACTCAAAGGCGCCCTGACTTCTCAGCAAACTCAGCCAGAGATAATATAACACACACCCACACGAAAGCTGATTTATTTAATCCAACAGAGGGCAATGGTGCACCCCAAACCGTCGGTTCCATCCTGTAACTTTTTTTTTTTTTGCATCTTGAGTACAGGTTTGGCCAATTGTCCTTCTTGTCTCTTGTGTGTTTTAAGGCATGTATATTTTAACATTTCAAGGAATCTAAAGCCCATACAATACAGAATGACTTTGCTGGGAAAGAATTGGAAGTCATCAGCTCCTACTCATATTCTGCTGCTTGAATTCCCTGAATATCCGGGAAAGATGGTCCCGTTCATCTCAAAGTGATTAGTCCCTCACTCCTGCTTTTGATTCTAGGTTAATGATTTATGTTGAAACCCTTACTGTGTGTTTTTCTTTTTATCTGAACCCTACAGCTGCGGTTGGAGACTTTTTGCCTTAGTTTATCACCTTTTCCTGGGCGTTAGACATAGAACAGGATTCCGAGAAAGGTCATAGATGGCCCTCCTTGAAAATCTGTAAGTTTAGGATGGACAACTACCTATAATTCACCTGTTGGCTATTGCTTAAATATTCTTCCAGAGATCCAAATCAATCAATTCTGGAAAAAAAAGGGAAGAAAAAGGTTGAGCATGGCCAAAGAGATCAAGAGCTGGCCTTTCTTCATTTTGGGCTTCCAAAGGGCAACATTTTTGCTCTATTCTACCAGCAGAATCCCTGCTTACACAATACCTCTTAATCAGCTGGTCATGTTGGAAATGTTAACCTTCTCGCTCGCTGAATGTCTAACACGGCGTACATGTTTCTTTACTGTGCCTGCTCTTGAATTACTTCTAACTCATCCCTGGAGCCTTTAAAATAGAAACCCTCAAATCCTATTCTAGTAAGATCCTCCTTCTGGTTTCTCTGGAGACTCGGATCTGTGGCCACATGTAGAGGGTGAAGTGGGGGTTGAATCACGGCGGCACCAAGCTTGCAGATAGCCATGGACTTGGGAATGGCCATCAGGAGCCTCTGCTTTCAAAGATTTACAACCAGCAGCTCCTACGCTTATCTAGACCTCCCCAGTCAGAGACTCGGACCATTTCTTTTTAGGTTCAGGATCTCAGGGGAATAAACAGCCTTCTCAGAAGGACCTGGAGGTGTTCTCTCCATGGGATATAAACATTTCTGACTTTATTGCAACCAAAGTAAGCAAAGACAAGTGGAATATATATACTCCACCAAACCATTCCTGGCTAGTTGGCTGAGATTTTAGTACCCTCTAAAAGCGTCCATTTAAAATGATTTTGCACACATGAGACATTCTTATTTTCCTCTTGTCCTTAAGTGACTCATTGTTTCCCCCTCCAAAGCCCCAGGAAGGCATAAATTCCCCTGGCATTACCGGCAGGGGTGAACATGGGGAACTTGAGGGGCCCTCCGAAGCCTGTCCGAGAATAGCAATTCCTCAGTGGCTGATCTGCTGACGCCAGTCTTGGGGACACAAGGAAATGGCTTAGGAAGAAGCCTTGAGGGTGTGCTCCATTTCCCCTGCAGGTGTCTTTCCCACATCACAATCATCCTCTGGCTGCTTCACTTCTGCAGAAAGCAGCAACAGAGCTGTCTCTGAGGACAGGTAACGAATGGGCAGTGGGTCCTGGAGCAAGAGTTGAGACACGGGCAGGAGAGGTGTACTATTCTCTCCTCCCAGACTGGGAGGGGTCTCAGGGTCAGCCTGTAATCCCCTCGCTGAGGCTGCCTTTATGCACCCTGACCTTGGGACGCTGTCTCTCCCAGTGCACCTCCTGCCGACCCTCTGCCAACCGCTTAGGGTTTCGGTCCACCCTTTGGCCTTGCCTTTGAGATGTCTCCCTATTTTCTAAGTGGGAATCATCTCTTCAGCTAGAAGGCACTTGTTTTTAGTTTTGGAAGCCAAAATAAATATATTTCAAAGACGCACAGACAAACTTAACACAACTGGAGAGTCCCTCTATATCCCTTATATCCTTATTTAATCAAATTGCTGTTCTCTAGGTCCCTGCCTGTCACTGTGGATTAGGGAGATCTCACCGGTCTCAAGGATGTTTTCCTCTTTTTTAATTAGTTCCTCTTTTCCTGCTTAAGGTTTTTTGTTTTGGGGAGGGGAGGGAGGGTAAGGAGAAGGGAGTAGAAGAGGGTGGAGACAAATCAGGGGACTATCCCTGTTCAGGTCCCTTCCCCTCCCCTGCCTTCTAAATTGAGTGATGCCCAAGACAGAGGGTCATTTGCTCTTCCTTCTTCTGGTTACTTATCATCTTACTCTTCTGTAATCAACACCAGTCTGGTATATCAAATGAAACTTTCTTTAAAAAAAAAAAAAAAAA